TTAGGTTTTCCAGCGATGGCGGCAAGAGTGGGTGACCCTGGGGACCACGCAGCTTATCAAACGAATGCAGAGGAGCAATTGATACTTTACCGCAACGGCAGCAATTGCGAAGCTAACTCAGAGCAGAACAATTGCTGCCCTCAAGAAGGCTTGGAGTAGCAAGAAAAGTCGTAGTCGTAGCACATGCAGCGACCAGAGTCACAAGCATCAGTGACGGCACATGAGAGCGTCTTCATTTTTCAGGCAGCGGCCCCCAAAGCGCCGCCAAAGAAAGCCCAAGCTCCGCCGCCAGAGGCATGCTGCCTGTAGAGGGGTGGCGGTCTCCCCAGCGAAGATGCAGGGTTGTGCGGGCAATTGTGGGGACATCATGAGCATAGCTCTTATTATTACCGTTTTGAACTCATTCTACCACTGCATTTGTTGGTGCCGTTTTGAACTTGTCCTGGTGGTGGAATGTTGTGTTGACATACACGGAGCCCTTTGCCAGCACTGGGGATTGAACTCCTTTGGACATGAGCACACAGCAAAACATGTTTTTTTGGTGCATTCTTCATCTTTTGATGTCAATGATGCTACTGTACTTGTCTGCTTGAAGCGGCCTGAGTAGGGATTGCCGTTTCAACGATGTGTACTCATCCCTGAACACAAAATGAGACACTTGATGCTGCGACAGGCACTAGTTTCTAGGCTCTTGTTGCTGTGTGGTGCAGGGATGATATGGGTTCCTCTTGGTGTGTCTTGCATGTATGGTGGTAACATTGGACACCGTTAGGGTTCATGTCCAAACCTTTGCAGCGTCGAGTTGTACCTTCATTTCAAGGGGAAGCTTTTTGAAGAGTGGCAGTTTTGGGGAGCCAAGGCTTGTCCCCGATTTCAATGTTCAGAGTCAGAAAGCCTTTCATCGTGCCATCTAGTGGTATGAGATTATGAGTGGTGGATGGTCGTAGTACCGGGGTAGTAATTTGAATGGCTCCCCCCCCCCCGTGATTTTGCCGTGCATACCCCACGTGATTCTGTTTCGGGAGTACAGAAGTGAAGGGTAAGCCCAAATGGTAGCCTCTGAAGGAGGAAATGGGTGCATGAATCCTGGACCCAAAGCCTTGGCCCTTACCGTCAAACAGTGACAGGCGCCGCCGACGGACCCACCAACAGCTGCCCCCGAGGCCGGCTGCAGTTTTCACATGTGCCCATGACATGGGGGCAGTTTGGCAAACAGATTTCTACAACGTCAGGGGTAATAGGCGCAAGCATAGGGAGCTCTGGGTAATGATTCAGATGGAGATAATGTTGGTGACGTGGGGGTCATGCATCTTATGAAGCGAATACCTGCAACAAGAACAAGAGACAAGCTCAACGACAGCAGGGTGACGCGGCAAGCGCGAGAGCTCAATTCGAAGCGCAACAGCACCTGCCCTGAAGAAGGATTAGAGTATCAACAAAAGTCGTAGCCAGAGGTGGTGGCAGCAAAGATTCGCAAGACCCGAGTGTCTCTTCATTTCCAGGCGGCGGGCCCCAAAGCGCCGCCAAAGAAAGCTCAAGCTCCACCGCCAGAGCCAGAGGCATGTTGCCTGTAGATGGATAGATGGGGGCTCTCGAGTGAAGATGCAGGGTCTTGCGGGGGTATCATGAACATAGTATTGCTACTTGTGTTACAGTTTTGAATTCATCCGATTTACCGTTTAGAACTTAGAATTTGTCCTGCTTGTGGAGTATTGTGAGTGAGCCCTTTTCCAGCAATGCCGATTGAACTCCTTCGGATTGAACACATCATACAAACATGTACCCTCTTGAGTACTCTTCATCTTCGGATGTCAATATTGCACATGCACTTCCTGCTTGAGAAGGGGGCCTGAGTCCTGAGTACGGATTAACGACCTGTACTCATCCCCGAAGACACGGTCAGACACTTGATCCTGAGGCAACCAGTAGTTTGCAGGTTTTCGTTGCTGTGTGTGCGGGGATGATTCGGGTTCCTCATGGTGTCTTCCGCATGCATCGGGATAAACACTTTTGCTTTGGATTCTGTTATGCAAGGCTTTGCAATTTGGCGTTGTGCGGCACATTGATAGGGTCACGCAAGCTTTTCACACGATAGGACTTTGTTTTCATGGGCCCGCAGGAAGGGGGCGGTAAGTGCTGCAAACTTGAGCGCATATGGTCTTTTCTTCGCAAGGGAATGCCATTGTTCATGGCATTCTTTCCAGGCTCCTTGATATGGTTGCACTTGGGCGCGGCAGGATTGGTTTGGGTGACGTAAAGAAATATGAGCATTTGACATATCATATATGACAGAGAAACTTCCTGGGGTTGGAGGTGTTGAGTATTGGGTGGAGGTGATTATTCGGGTATGCGGGCTAGCTCTCCAACAGGCGACGCGTCGATTTGGTGCAGATGATTACGACCGGGCAGCGGAAGCCGATGCGGTCAGGGGCCCAAAGTTTGGGCAGGTCTCCAGAGGTCTCTTCCTCAGTGATAAATCCCCAAACCGCCCTTACAAGAAATATCCCCAACATAGGACACTTCTAGTATTATGAGATATACATATACATATTAGGAGGAATATTGTTTGGGAACTCCCCAGAATGGGAAGATCCCTGGAAGAACCCTCCAAAAGCAAGATCCTTTTAAATGGAAGTCAAGAATCGTTGTGTAATTCCAACATCGGCTACTGTGATTGTCCGTGTTGCTTTGATCTTACTCTAGTGTACTTCTTTCCTGCGCTGGTCTTATACGTTTGGATGGTATCGGTCTTGTCTCTGCTGGTGCGCATTCATGCATCCATCCATCATTCTGTCCATCCATGACTCCAGTCATCGATTCGCCTGTGCTCGTTATCTTTGCAGAGTCGTTAGAGATTTAGTGGTCATGTCGGGCTGCCAAACCGCAATAGCACGTTCTTCTCAAACTGCTGCGAGGTCATCTATCAGCTTAGCTATTTGATCCCTCGATCATTGGTTCCTACAAACAACCATCTCTGTCTGTTGCCCACAAGTCTGGCAGCAGTCTTAGAGGAGCCGATTCGATTCTGCGGCTGCGCCCATGGAAAGCCTGCTTAATAGTAAGGAATATGAATCCCCTACTGTCAGTCTGAATTGTAGCACCATTGGATGGACATGACCGCTTTCTTCTGAGCAGGCTATCGCGGCAGTAGTCCATTTCGGAACCCCAAGCCCCCCAACAATTATTCCCCTCAATATAGGGGTTGCGGGGCTGTTTTAATTATAAACGCTAGCGCGCGCCC